TGGGAATGTTTCTGCGATAGATTAGCATTTGAATCAGACTTAGTAAAAAATCTGTACTCATGAATAGGGATGAGCTTCATCCAATCCACTGAAGAGAGAATACAATGGAGGAGGGAGGACAAATTCACTCTCCTTGACCTGGGACATCCATTTCCTCCTGGTCCTGAACCTCAGCGTTTCTAGTTCTTAAGACTTTAGACTCTGATTCTTAAGCCAGGAGCCACACCCTGTTCCCTGGACTCTCAGCCCTTTGGATTCAAGATTGAATTATACCATTGGCCTCCCTGGTTCTCTAGTTTATGTCTTGGGTTTCTCAGCCTCATAGTTGCAGAAACCAATTTCTATAATAAATCCCTTCTAATATATTTATGTGTATTAACTGTTTCTCTGACAAATATAGTTCAATATTTCACCAGTATCTTAAATTCAATAGACAAAACCCAAGCCATCATCTTCCTCAAGCATGTTCTTTCTGTGTATCTCAACTGATGATAGTTCTGTTCCTCTGCTGTCTCAGGGAGAAGCATGACGACTCCTTCTCTACCTCTAGACTAGCTTAATAAAATTATCACCCAGGCTGTTGATTCTAGCTATCATCTGTCAAACATTTCTAACTCTCTCATTTCCTATTGTCACTATCTTCGTCCTGGTTTTCACCGTTCTTAGATTTCACCTTTCTTTTCTTTTTTTTTGAAACAGGGTTTCTCTGTAGCTTTGGAGCCTGTCCTGGCACTAGCTCTTGTAGACCAGGCTGGCCTCGAACTCACAGAGATCCACCTGCCTCTGCCTCCCGAGTGCTGGGATTAAAGGCATGCGCCACCACCACCCCGCAGATTTCACCTTTCTTTCATTGTTACTAGGGAATTTTCACAGTGCAAATTCATTTTCCAGTTAAAATTCTGGTGGCCTGCCTCCCTCCCTCCCTTCTACCCTCCATTTCCTTCCCTATCTTCTATCTTTCCTTTCTTTATGGAATATGAATGTTGAAAATCCTTCTTGTGACCCTAAGTCTCCTCCTTTATTGTTGTCTAGACTTACATGTTGTACCGGATCCCTTTCTGTTTCCTTTTGAAATTCCAGCATCTGATTGTGTTGAACTGGACAGAATCCTAAACAGTATAATGCCTCGTTTCCCCAAACCTTAACATGGATCTATAGATTCCTCTTCGTCTCAGAGTTAGCTAATTAATGACAGTATGTTGGCTATGCTGGGTGATTACCGCTGACAGCACCCTATTCTCGCTAGTGTCTGTCAACTGAGTCTTAGTTGTGTATTGATTGAGGTTCTTCCAAAGGCGGGATCCCTTTGTGCTGGAATATTTACTCTTGATCACAAAAGTCACCCTGGATAGACGGTGATTATCAGGAGTGGCATAATTATTCTTGGGAAAAAATGACATCCAAAAGTGAGGGCTGTAACTCAGTGGTAGAGCACTTGTGTAGGACACACAGGAACCTGGCTTTGACTCACAGTACCGCCCCACTCCTCATATAGTTCCATGGTTAGTGGGCGTAACTGGCCATGGACACAGCCTTAGAGAGGAACACCTTCCTGGGGAGATTTCAGAGCTAGTCTTCAGACGGTCACTTGGGGATATGTGTCACCTGGAAGGGGGAGCTTTTTTCACCCATTCTCCTCAGTGAATGGTCAGATGGACTTATTAGGCTCTGAGATGCGGAGAACACATAGTTTTAGTGTCAAGGGAAGGAAAAAAAGCCACACACTAGCCTGATCTTACAGACAGAGGAAGGAAGAATAGCCAGGGGAGGGTGAGTTAAGGAAGGCTGGTGGGGTTTGAGGGGCTGTGTCAGAAAGGCCAGATCAGAAGATGCAGAAGCTTCTCTTGGAATGAAGGTTCAGGTTAAGGCTAAGATGGCAATGGCTGGTATGGCGAAGAGTAGAAACATGCCAGTCAGATAAACAGTGGATTAGCAGGTCCATGTTCTAAGCCTGGAGCTCCCATACACTAGCAGTGTGTTTGTCTGAGTTGCATATTTCTCTGGGCTTCTTACAAAGTGTTATCATTGTTTTAGTAAGGGAAGTTTTACTACACTGCACCACCATTAGCAGAACTATAGCATGCAATGGCATAGTTGATACAGAGCTATAACATGCAATGGCATAGTTGAACAGAGCTATAGCATGCAATGGTACAGTTGATAAAGAGCTATAGCATGCAATGACACAGTTGATACAGAGCTATAGCATGCAATGGCACAGTTGATACAGAGCTATAGCATGCAATGGCATAGGTGATACAGAACTATAGCATGCAATGGCATAGTTGAACAGAGCTATAGCATGCAATGGTACAGTTGATACAGAGCTATAGCATGTAATGGTACAGTTGATACAGAGCTATAGCATGCAATGGTATAGTTGATATAGAGATATAGCATTCAATGGTATAGTTTATATAGAGCTATAGCATGCATTGGTATAGTTGATACAGAACTATAGCATGCAATGGTATACTTGATATAGAACTATAGCATTCAATGGTATAGTGGATATAGAACTATAGTATTCAATGATATAGTTGATATAGAACTATAGCATGCAATATTATAGAACTGTAGCATGCAATGGTATAGTTGATACAAAAGAGCTAGAGAATTTCTGAGTTTCTTCTGGGGTGCCCTGCATGGCTGGAGACAGGGTTCAGCAGCTAAGAACACTTGTTGCTTTTGCAGAGAACCTTGGTTCTATGTGGGGTCTATTTCCAGCACCTACATGATAGCTCTAGTTCCAGGAGTTAGTCTCAGTGATCACATGATATACACACACTTACATGTAGGCAAAATACTCATGCACATAAAATAAATCTAAAAAGGTCTAAGATAATTTTTTTTGTCATGAAAAAGTTGATTATAAAAGAATTTGATCATTAATTTCATTATGGCTGGTTCTATTTTTCACAAGAAAGTGGGCAGTTGATATTGGGTTTATGTTTTCATTATGTTATTATATTTTATCTTTAAAAGTACTTCTAAAAGAATTGTTTACAAAACCCAAGTATAATTATTTTTAGAGTAACTTATTTTAAATGATTTTTAAAACACAATTTTTAGAAAGTTGTAAAAATGAAACTACAATTTAAAGCTCACTGCTTATTATGTTCTGTGCGGGTGGAGGTTTTAATCAGGAAAGGAAAGCGAGTTTGAGGAAGAGGACACAGCGTTTTTCTTCTGGGCAGAGCCTCAGTGTGCTTTTCCGAGGATGGAGCAGTCCGTCTCAAATGTGAAGTTATTTTGTATCTGCGGTTGGCAACGCATCGAGATAAATTCCCACTAGATCTGATTATAGCGAGTCCTTGGACAGATGCTTATCTCTTATTAATAGTGTTTTCATCCACACTAATTATGTGGTTGTATGACATAGCCTCGCAAATCATATCACGCTCTGGTGAAGCCGAACTGACTTAATCCGATGATTTCCCAGATGAATTTGGGGATAGTCTCCAGGATAGAGTCCAGAGACTCAGCTGATGTTATTGGGAAAACGGTTCTTACGGTCAATCCAGGAACATGTCATCGGATTTCTTGTACAGATTCGTTTCTAGGAGGTGGAACCTGATCCTTCTGTGGTTTCCCTTTGGCTCTGAGAGTTCTTGCGATGTGCTGTCTGCTTATAGCCAAAGGCACATGCCGAGGTGTCGGACTCTGCAGTTGTTTAGATACCTCTTCTAGGGCCTAAACACACGCAGCCCAGTTTGCATTTTATGTTTGCTCATTTTTCTTTACGTTTCTGTTTCACTGTTACTAGCAGAAGCAGTTACAGACTCCAGATTGTTCCCATGAACCCTAGCGGGCAGGAGAGAGAGCCCTGCCCACTGAGCTTTGCTGAGGCGGCAACAGTCTCATCCACTGCTGTCCCAGGGGACTCAGTGTGGAGCAGAAGCAGCCACAGCTCTAGGTGCTGGTGAGAACACGGGCATGAAAACTCATGGGCAAAAGGAGTCTCATTGAGAATCTCTGACATGGGTCTGGAGAGATGACTGAGCGGGTAAGAGCATTTGTTCTTGCAGAGGAAGGACCTAAGGCTCAGTTCCTAGCACACACATGGTGGCTCACAACCATCAGACTCCAGTTCCAGGGCATCTGATGAGGACACCAGGCACAGCTGTGGTGCACATACAAAGCCAAACACGTACACATAAAATGATGTTTTAAAAAATGCTTAAAGCCAGGAGTAGTGGTACACACCTTTAATTCTAACACTCACAAGGCAGAGGTAGGTGGACCTCTGTTAATTCAAGGCCAGCCTGATCTACAAAACAAGTTCTGGATAGCTAGGGCTGTTACTCAGAGAAATACTGTCTTGGAAAAAAAAAACTAAAAGGAAAGAAGAAGAAGGAGAAGGAGGAGGAGGAGGAGGAGGAGGAGGAGGAGGAGGAGAAGGAGAAGGAGGAGGACGAGAAGAAGAAGAAGAAGACGAAGAAGAAGAAGATAAATTCTGTAATTCTGAAATTCTCCTGATTTTCTCAAGTGATGAGAGTCCAAGGAAAAGAATGCCAAGGCTCCAGGTCCTCTTCCACTACAGACTTGTGAATATTAAATAATTTAGCTGTTAGGCTGTGAGCTCTAAGTCTTAACCAGTCCCTGCTCGCTCTCACCAGTCTGTGTAACTAGTATTAAGGAAAAATACTTCTTTGGCATAGTTTCTCTTTTACCCACCTCTTCTCCACGGGGACCAAGTTATCAACATTAAAGTGGAATTGAAAGTTTACCTGGGCTGTGAACTGCAAAGGTGCTGCCCACCAAGCCTGATGACCTGAGTTTGCTACTTGGAGCCCTCTGGGTCGAAGGAGGAAGCTGTCTTCTGAGCTCCACACCCCGCCTGTGCGTTCATATCAACTCCACACCTCAACAACAAACAAATAAACGTAGAAAGTGTAAAGTTAATGTTTTTAGTTCTATTATTTTATAGCCAACCCATGAAGAGGTAAGTGTTTGTTTACTAGTGGTAAGTAAAAGTCTAATTTTGTTTTCTTTCTCAGGATGTGCTTTGGGGGCTTCATGTGAAAAACCAGGGGATTATGAATGGAAAATGACTGTACAGCCACATATGTGAGACCCGTTTTAAAGGGACTTGGGGTGGAGCATCCTGGAGTTGTGCTGGTACATTAATACAATCGAAAAGGGTTCTCTTTTCCCCCCTCTCATCCCTGGTACTGGAGATTATACCCAGGCCTCTTATCACATTCATGACCTAGAAGTTCTTGCTTTCTGAGCCCGAGTCTAGCTTTGGAGTTCAACTGTCATTGAACTTTCCCTACCTCCCCGCCACACCAGGAACTCTACCTTGGAACCTTCCTTTTGCACACAATAGTTGATCGATACATTTCCTAGAACCATAAATGCAAACTCCGCTGATGGTGTGCTTTATTTACAAATCTGTTTTTTTAAATATTAATTAATTAATTTATTATGTATACAATATTCTGTCTGTGTGTATGCCTTCAGGCCAGAAGAGGGAACCAGACCCCATTACAGATGGTTGTGAGCCACGATGTGGTTGCTAGGAATTGAACTCAGGACCTTTGGAAGAGCAGGCAATGCTCTTAACCTCTGAGCCATCTCTCCAGCCCCTAAAATCTGTTTTGAGTGTGACTAGTCTGGGCTGTTCATGCTGGACTCACTTAGCTGTCAGCCAGTTCCCAACAACTGGAGAAACTTTCTTCTTGGTGGGTGGTGCTGGGCCTGAGCCCAAGGCTGCACAGGTACTAACCATACCCTACCACTGAGCTCCAGACTCTAGTGATACCTCTGTGAAAGGGAAGACTTCCTCCTGTTGAGTGAATTAATCAAAGACTTACTAGGAAGACTAAAGTCACCGCCACAGAATTCTGTGGGCCTGAGACTGTATCGCCTTTGGCTCTGTCAAAGGATTTATAGTCCCTAAGGGCTCTCTTGACTTTGGCAAGTGCTTCCTGTCTGTTGAATGACACATTCCTCTGGCAGTGGGGTAGGTGGAGTGGGAGTATTCCTGTACATTTTGCTCAGCCTGGACATTGCCAAGAAACCTAAAGTCTTTGCTTTCGAAAGCACACAACTTAGCTTTACAAACCCTTGAGGAAAAGGAGGAGAAAGTCACGCAAGACCTAGAGGGAAAGCAGGAAGTTGGGAGGAAGGGGCCTTCCCTTCTCTCTTCTTCCTTTATCTCATTTCAGACTGGAAATCTCTCCTCCGCCTCCGTTTTGGGTTGCCTGCTGTGCCCAGATGCCCTGCAGACACGTTTTGGCTGAAGTAGGCCGACTAAATCTGAAGATGCCCCAAGGGAGAACACAGTCCTGAGTCTCCCTCTGGTGGGCATTTGCTGTGCACACTGCTCCGTCAAATTAAGGAAGGAAGGAACTTCAGAAATACAAATATAAAAACATATCATATGCACAGTAAAAAATATTTCAGGATACCACCACGGTACATTAGTATTTTCTATATACTAATTAAATGAAGTTACACATCCACTTCTGTATTTCAAGGGATTTACCCACACTTTTAAAGTTTAAATAAGAAGTTCTTTGGCACAAAACAGTCTAAAAAGTCTCTCTACTTGACGAGAGAAATAAATCTTCTTTCTTCCATTCTGTTATTACAGAAGAAGACCAACGGATGGGCTGTATGAATGTGTAGCGGAGGAAGAGGAAGACAACGGATGGGCTGTGTGAATGTGTAGCGGAGGAAGAGGAAGACAACGGATGGGCTGTGTGAATGTGTAGAAGAGGAAGACAACGGATGGGCTGTGTGAATGTGTAGCGGAGGAAGAGGAAGACAACGGATGGGCTATATAAAATGTGTCATTTCTAATTAACGCTTGAGTAGCTCCCTGGGAACTTGGCTTGGGAATTTTCATCGTGAGCCTTCTTCCTGGGGAGGTTTAGTTTGTGCTCAAACACCATGTTGGCAGGTCTCCAGGGAGCACATGCTTCATTGGCTCCCTTTGGGGTCCTCCGCCTCAGGTGACACTCAGCTCTTTGGAACCTAGAGGCCAGTCCTCCAAATTGCTCCTTTCAAATGTGGGAATGAAGTGTGGTCGCTGATGCCCACATCCCTGCGACCTCTGTCATTCTATCTTTTGTCTTCACTCGGGCTCAGACCCCACTCGGGAGACCAGACTGGAGACAGACCATGTTGTCTCTACCAGTTCCTCCCACGACTTGAGACAGAGCCAATAGTTTCCATGTCACTTTTTCCTTTTGTTGTTTTTAGGTTAAGTGCTGCTAGGCTTCCCTGAAGCAGGCCATCTTTGCCCAGTTATAAATAGCGCGCTACAACATTATTACAGTTAAGTTTAAATAAAGGTCCTTCTTGACTTTAGCTCTCTGAATAGAATCTGGCAACATGTTGTAATTTAATTTTTAAAATTAAAAATGCAAAATTTCTCTTTGGAAATAGTTGCAGCTCTAGGGAATTATTACATGCAATACTTCCTGTGACATTTATCACCAGATCTTATCAGCTCAGTGCCCATCCTCTGCCTCCTCCTACCCTTCTGCTGTGTGATCTTCATCCACTCCGCTCTGCCTCAGCCTCTGCTGCCTTACCTTTCCCACAGTACCACAAACTGAAGCATGTAAGAAGCAGCATTCAGGAGTTGATTTCTTTCATTCTGTATGGTATCTGGTATTTATTGATGTCTTTTCATGTTGTGGACTGAATGCTACATATTAAAGCCCTAATCCCCTAACGATAATATTAGGAGGTAGCGCCTGAGAGATGTCCTTAGGACTGACTTGGTTCACGATGATCTTGGCGTCAGTAACGGGAGAAGAGAGCGGAGCTCTCCCCGCCTGTGAGGACAGCAGTAAGGCTGCTCTCAGCCAGGAACTGCGTTTGACAGTAAGTTGGTCTTAGACTTTCCAGAGTCTGGAATTCTCACCGAAGTCATTCTCCTCGCCTAGGCTGTCCAGGCTAGCCTAGTGTCAGCCGTAGCTTCCTTCCTGTTTCTGAACCGTGTCCAGTGAACGGGTGTATCTTTGTTCATTTTCTTACCATGATAAGTTTGAGTTTTTTCTAGGTGTGTTTATTATAAAGACAGTTACTAAAATATTTATGCAGGTTTTAGTTTTTATTTGTGGAGAATAAATACATATACTGATATTTCTTGGACACATGACAATTGCATGTTTAATTCCACCAGGAACTGTTCAATCATTTTCTAGACCAGCTGCATCATTTTGAATTTTCTCCACAGTGTATGAGAGTTCTAGTTATTCCATCCAGTATTTGGTTTTCTTATGTTTAAAATTCATCATCATCATCATCATCATCATCATCATCATCATCATCACTAGTGTGTGCACATACAGATGTGTTTGGCTCCTGTGCCAATGGCATGTGTGTCACCAGACAACTTTCTGCAGCCAGTTTTCATGTAGGCTCCAGGTCTCAAACTCAGGTTGCCAGGTTCATGTGGCAAGTGCTTTTCCCACCGATCCATCTTGCTTACCCCATTTGCTTTTAATTTTAGTGATCTTAATCAGTGTGTAGTGATACTCCTCGTAGGTTTAATGTGTGTTTCCTTAGTGGTCTCAGTCATGTGTGTTCTGCTAAGTCCTGGGAGCTCTTTGTACTGGGCATAGACCCTTTAATGGCCACTGATGTGAGATTTTCAGCCACATTTTGGTGGCTTGTCCTTTAATCTAACAGCATGTTTCACAGAGCAAAGGTTCTTTTCCTATGTTTTTAATTCTATTGTAGAATATGAGAATAAATATGTAAGTTTATTGTTCTAACTTTTTTTTTAATAAAAGAAAACTCATTTCTTTACAGTTTGGCCAAACAGTGAGGAACCTGTCTATTATCAGACCTGGGAGTCACAACATGTGCCCCAAATCAGGCCTGAACACTTGTCTTCAGGAAACCAATTAAAAGAGACAATAATGGAAAGCAGAAAAAGGAGATTTACTCAATGTGGTCACATTGGGAAGAAGGACGAAGATCCAACAGCCCTCCCTAGTTTGTCTGTATTCAGGGTCCCAAAGTGAAGTCAGACTTTAGGAAGAGGCCCAGGGTAGTGTTCATGTCTAAATTGAATGGTAATCTGATTCAGGCACTAGAAGTGCTCCAGATTGCTATAGATGGGGTTGGGAGGCTTCTCGTGTGGATGTGCTAAAGTACTGGAGAAATAGTCCTGTAGAGCACCTGCCTAGAATGGGCAAGGCCTTGAACACACACACACACACACACACACACACACACACACACACACTTCTTTTTGATACTGCCATTCTGTAGTTGTGGTTTGAAAATCAATTCTCTTTAAGGTAAATCTTACTTCTTTTGTGATTGAGCAGAAAACTAACCCTTTTCTCTCCCAATGCATCATCACTCTTAGACACTGGTTGGAAAATGTAATAGTAACTCATGGAAGAGTGTTGGGCCATCGTGGAAGGAAGGCTTGCCAGCTGTGCTATAGACTGGCGGAGGCCTTCCTGACTGCTAATCAACTGGCTTCCTGGAGCCATCCAGATGGACACTTAGAATAATGCTCTTAACTCGGGAATTCTAGAACTAGGCATGGATATAAATGGGAAAGCATCTAATTATTTTTGTTTTGACTTCTTCATACCAATTTTTTATAAAGCAGAGATCTGTATTGTCACATCTGATTGGTACGTGAGACCTCATCTGAATTCACACCAGCACACCCTGGTGAGGTATACATGTTTTTCTTCAGTAATTTACTGCTTTTTCCGCCTGAAAAATCTAGTAAACCAAGTAACAATGGAGTTGGGAAGAAAGGGAATTGTTCTCATCTTTAAAATAAGAAACACCATGTTTTGGCAAAAGCAGTCCTCGCTTGCTACTGTAAACAGTCCTGCCACAGACAGCTCTGTGCTGGTGGTGCCCCCACCCCGGGAAATGTGTACACCGTTCAGACATACACTGGACCCAGGAACAACAATGAGAGCGGGACCCGGGGCTCTTTTCCCAGGTTTTATCTTTAGCAGGCATCAGTGTTCAGCACTGTAAGTCAGCTAGCAAGTTCTCCCAGAAAGACTCTAGCTTCCTCTGTTTGTATGAAGTTTCCTCCAAGTGTGTGGCTGGAGAGACCCAAGTCCACAAAGAATGACACTGTGGGATGGAGTTAATGTCACCTGTCTTCCCTGTCTGCGCTGCTCTTGAGGGGTAACAGACTCTAAGCAAAACAAAACAAGACAGAACAAACCCCAGAACCTGAGATCCGTGCATTTTGAGCACCAAGGATCTTTTTCAGGAAAATGTGTACCTGATATTACAAAACCTGGCAGGCAGAAGACACGCTTGCTGTCTCAGCTGAGCCTCAATGTGCCACCACGAATACACTTTAGTTTGGAAATGGTTCTGAGTCTTTTTAAAGATATATAAATGGCATTGTTTGGAAGCAGAATACAAATATTTGGCTTTTGTTTAGCTGACAGAAGCAAGGAAACAGTTTATGTGGACACAGTACTGCCACATTATGAAGACAACAGAAAGCTCAAAGGACAGATTACTGAAAGCATAGACTGACAGATGCCATGGCCGAGGAGATGTGAGCTGTTCTCCCCACTAAAGCGTGCCAGTGTCCCTGGTCAGAGCAGCTCTCCCGGCTTTGCTTCCAAAATGTGGAAGGCAGTAGTTTTGGATGGGGCCTGAGAACTTGTATTTTAATGATTTTTTAAAAGAATGTTTTAAATCTATGGATATATATATATATATATTCTATCTATCTACAATGAATCTTGATCATATCCAGTGCAAATTACCCCTCCAAGTACTGCTTCTCCAAGCCCTCTCCCTCTCACCCTCATGTCTGTTTTAAAAACATACTCAGTCCAATTAGTGATGGCAGTGTGGGCGTGCATCTAATCTCCTGTTCCCAGCAGCCTCAGTTGTCCATACCTTTTCAGCCAGGCGTGGAGTCACACACCCTGCTCATCCATGCTAGAATGTTGGCTGGCTTGATCTTTTGCAGCTGGCCATAGCTGTTGTGAGGGCACGGGTACAATGGTCACATCATCCAGAAGACAGCACTTCACAACTCTCCCCCATCCTGGCTTTCATATTCTTTCTGTCCTATCATCCACAATGTTACTTGAGCCATGGAAGGGGATAGGGTGGTTATAAATCTCCCATTTAGGTTTGAAAACTCCAAAACCACTTATTCTTAGCACTTTGACCAGTTCTGAGTCTTTGCATTGACTACTGCATACTGTAAAAAGGAACCTCTCTATTCAAGGCTGAGAAAGGCACTAATCTCTGGATACAAACAAATATTTAGAAGATAATTTGATAACATATTCATTCAGCAAAACAAGCAGTTGGTCTCAAAGCCTCAGGGCCTGCCCCTCTCCCAGCCCTGTTGCCCAGGTTTTCTGGACCAGGCATAAGTCCCTTACTGTGGCGCAGGCCTCAGATCCAACCAGAGAGTTGTTGGTTACCCACACAACTGTCATGCCACTGTTGCACCGGGAGAACCATCTTGCCTAATGATAGGTACTGCACAATGGAAAGTCCCTTGATGCTGTCTTCCCCAGCATCCTCCAGCACTGTGCAAGGAACCAGTTAGGTCATTTCTAGCTTAATTTCTCTGTCCAAAGACCGAAGTGTGTTGTGTATTTACAATGGAATCTCATCTAGCAAAGGCAGGAAACCAAGAGCAATGACAATATCTTGGT